TCATGCTACAAAATTTTTCTTCTTGTGCTGATAATGTACATGTTCCTCTTATTACTTATATTCGCTCCTGTGGTCTAAATCCTTACAGATGGGATGGCCAAAATTTGAGGAGCCACAGTAAGACAATCTTTGATACCCTTGATGATCTAGTGACAAAGACTGCAGCTACATACCATCTTCAGCAAGAACAAACCAGATTCTTGAAGGAATTTAGGGATATTGTACGCTTTCGAACCAAAATCTCATTTCTTGATAATTCCATGTACATTGTGTCGATTAAACATGAGTGCTATTTTTCACTGACAAACACATAATTTTTCAATGACAGTGGCGGGAAACATTTCTTTCTTGGATGACAGAAAAGACTTGGAGTGACACCGGTTACCTACCATCCATGGAGGAATATCTAGAAACCGGCATGGTATCTATTGCGGCACACACGCTCGTTCTTCCTGCTTCTCGTTTCTTATGTCAAAAACTGCCGGTGGAAGAGTTCAAGCCGGGCAAGTACAGAGACATCACGAAATTGCTCATGGCTTCCACCCGTTTGGTGAATGACACTCAGAGCTATCAAGTAATCATTTAACAATCTGTTTTTGACTAGCTGTACCCTTGCTAATAAGCATAAATTATGATTATTGATTTTACTCTCTTATTAGAAAGAACAAGAGGATGGGAAAATGAACATGGTGACGCTCCACTTAAATGAAAATCCAGAGGCGGATATTGATGATTCGGTTGCTTATGTGAAACACATTTTGGACGAGAAGACGAAAGAATTCCTACAAATTGTTCTGGAAGATAGCTCCAGCGATATGCCTAAATCATTCAGGCATTTGCATTTATCTTGCATGAAAGTATTTCAGATGTTTTTCAACTCCACCAACCTATATGACAGCAAGGAAGATTTGATTGATAATATCAAGAAAGCCATCCACATTCCTCCTGATTATACTCAAACTCCAGACCATCGAGTTAAGCCACTGCCAATGCCATCATCAGCTCCTCCAGAAAAGAAAAATGTCGTCAAAATTGCTGCCCGTTTCGAACCCAACATCAAAGTCAAATACCGCGGCGGCAAAGCCATGTTCATGGGACAGCAGTTACTGATCAAGAATCCTATTTCCGTTTGTGGTAGTGGAGCAGTCTGTGTCCCGCCAAGATTTTAATATTTTGGTTGCATCATTTGAATAATAATGTTGTCTGTATAATTTTCTTCTGGTGTATTTCCTAGATGTTGTTTGTGTGCATCATATTTTAATTCCTTTTTTCTTCCTTAAGATCCAATAACTATTAATTAAGTAAAAAATAAATACAACAGCTTCAAAAAAGCAATATATAATAAAAAATTAAAAAATATAGCAGAAAATTCATAAAAAATCTAATTTTTTATGCATTTTGATTTTTTGAGTTTGTTAAATTTTGTGTATTACTCAATTAATAGTTATTGGATCTTAAGGAAGCAAAAAGGAATTAGGACATGTTGTTTATGAAGGAGAAATAGCAATATAATAAAAAGTGGCACAGGGTGTGGGACAGAAGATCCGTTGCGATATTACTGGCACGTTGTCTCTACTGTGTGATTTGTATGATATTGAAATAAGACGTTGAGATTATGTTTGGACAGAAACTACTATTTATTTGCATCACAAATACATTTTTAATGCACATTTTCATCTTCCCAAATATCTTTTTCTCTCACATATATCACATCGCAAAAAATATTGTAGTAATTAAAATTATTTACTTGCATTATAAATATATTTTTCTATCGCACTTTTTTATCTTTGCAAACACCTTTTTATCTGACGTACATTATCTCGCAAAAAAGTGCCACAATAATTATTTCAAATAATCTCTTATGGTCAAATAATATTTCAAAAACCTTGGCAGAATTATTTTAACTTGTATTTTGCTTGTGTTTTTTTGTCAAAAAGAAGAAAAAGGATGCCGGTTTCGCATTCTTAATTTCATGGAATATGGACCACTATAATGATTTTCCTTTTAAGTCTTGGAATTGGATAGTGATTTATTTATAAAAATTTATTTACTTGTATCATTAACGCATTTTTCAATTACTTTTTTTTGTTTCATATACATCACATCAAAAAATACTACAATATTTTTTCAAAAAATTATCCCAAATAATCTACCATCCAAACATGCTAATACATTCAGCCCCCCCCCCCCCCCCCTCTTTCTCTCTCTCTGGTCCTGAGCAAACTAGAAACAGCTTTATGAATGATAAGCAAAACAGTACATGCCCGAGGAATTCCTCAATCTATATCAGTCAGAAAATGCTAAACATTACAAGCCAACAAAATTGCTTAAAATATAAACCCTGCTGTTGGAAGTTTTCCACATAATGGACTTCTCGCCCAACAGCTGCCAGGATATTCCTTGCTGAAGCACCCGATTGTTGGCAAATTATAGCAATACGGGCCCCCCATATCTCATGGACGGTGACAAAGGCTCTTCGTTCATCTACCCCCATCTTGTTGTGTACATATATATATATCCCATTCAAGTACTGAGTTTTCAAATTGTCAATTTATCAACTGCTTTTGATTTTCTTAAAAGCTCAAAAGTCGGAATCTGAATAGTAGATTCACAGCTTCTAATTTTGACATCATCGAAGATCTTCTCATCACTTTCAAAAAAGACAAGAACTAAAAGGGAAAAAAGTAATTGAGGTACAAGTGTACATGCAAACTTAGGGTCCCGGAATTTGTTCTTTTGAGTTGTTAAAGAATTTGATAAAAATATGTAAAACTTGACATTAGGTAAACAGATTCTCTTGAAATATTAATAAAACAATTGGTGGAAAGAAAACATATGGCAGCATCAATGTTCAACCGGATTTGTACTCTTTCAACTAGTGATATTCTGTAATTTATTGGAGTACGTGTAAGTAAATATTTGCCATTAGGTATGTCATAATATTTTGCACTTTTGGAACCACTGAAGATTTCTATTTAGTGATGGAAATGCTAATTGGTATACATTCTGCAACACATACCCTATCATAATGTGCCACAATCCCATACCACCTCACACAGCGAATATGATATCTGAATTTCTTGCATTCCTTTAACGATATAAGATATTATTCTTTTGGCTGCTATCAAAGATGTAGGAGGAATAAGGGAGCACCTTTATGCCAAAAAGTGACTTCTTGGGGTCGTATCAAATATCAACCAGTTTAATATGATTTAAAATACTGCAGCAATCGCAAGATTTACCGAATCAGTCCAAACTGAATTCAACTTTATTGAGTTGTTCGTTTCCAATAGAAATTTTTTTTTTTAAAAAAAAAGGGTTTGCCTTGAGTTTTAGCTTAGTTGATATACTCCATCGGAGCTATAAGCTTTTTGCATTGAGGCTCCTTTTCCATGCATTCGACAAAAATAAAAGTAAAATAATATTGATAGGTATCATAGTTGGCAGAAGGGAAATTGATGAAACCAAATTCATGTGAGTTGCTAAAACCAAACTGTTGTTCGACCACATATATACATGAGTCCAATCATGGTGTATTAAAAGTTTTTCCGAAATTTCAAAAAACTTGTAAAAATATGTATAGCTTGGTGTTTGTTCACAAATTTGAACACTAAAACACCTCATATTTTGTTTATCATCAACATGCACTAATGTTTATCCATTCATATTGGAAAAAATTTTCTATGCTTTTCAACCATTTTTTATCCTTTGAAATACAATCTGTACATTTTGTAGAGTCTCTGTGCATTTTCATATTTTCCCTCAAATTTCCAAATTTTAGGAGATCAATTCACGGGAAAAAGAAAAGGGAGCTTATTTCTTCTATGGCAACGTCATAGGTAAGATGAATGTGATTTACTAATATATGTACCCTGATAAAGAACATTAGAAAGGGACCTGTGAGAGTTTACAAATGCGTAACATTTAATGGATTAGTCAGGCATCTAGCTCATGTCTTCGCTAAATCTGCGAAAAACTTCACATGATTAGTGCCTGCTGTTCTTACTTCGTGTGAAATCTAATTGAGGGAACAAAAACAATTTAATGCCACAACAAGAACTTGAATATCACAACAAATTTTTCTCGTAATACCCTTACATGTCAATTAAAGTCCAATATTGATTAATTAGAAGGGTAAGCTTGACAATTAATACCGAGTTGCTGTGACATTAAATTTCTAGTTAATGGCAACATCAGTTTGACATGACACATCTACATATATATACATATATATATATATATATATATATATATGAAATCTTATACATTCTAGGATTCACATTTATCCTAAAGTTAATTCCGCATTTTCCCATAAAATGAGCAAATAGAGCTGCTTATCTTCCCTTCAGATTTTGACGAAGTTTTGCATGTGAAATCAAAGCTTTCTTAATTTTTTTTTTTTTTATCTTGTTGTATCCTCCCACACCCTTCCTATCCCCGAGTGCTTGGCGCAGGATTCCCAATTGCTTGGCACAAGATTCGAATTGTAACTTGTCGGGGGAGGAAAGGTTTTTTTGGTAGCCTTTTATCACTTTCCTCCCACACACTTCCAATCCCCGAGTGCTTGGCACAGGATTCCCAATTCCTTGGCACAATATTCGAATTCTAAACCTGCCGGGGAGGAAGGGTTTCTTTGGCAGCCTTTTATCACTTTTTTGAACCTTTGATTTGGATTCAAGAAATTATTCGAGTGACTTTTTCATTTAAATTACGTTTTTCGTATCAGTTGCTCTCCCCTAACCAACGGACCAGCCCTGGTGGTGGTTAATCAAAGCTTTGCATCAATTGAATGTTTATCGCTTGAGTATAATGCTTATATAAGCAACTTAGAAGAGTCAGTGTTTTATAGGTTATATATGTGGAGAGGAAGATTGCATGTGTGTGAAAGTTAGAGTTAGAGGCTTTGGAGGACTACCAAAAAAGATGATGTATTAATAACATCCAATACGCTCATATTGCTTTCATGCAGCAAACGCAGTGATGCACATAAAAATTACAGTAGTTATGTATATGTATGCCGCGAATTACAGTAGTAGAAGAGCAAAAAACTCTTGGAAAAGTACACTAAAAATAGGAAAATTTTGTTTGATCTAACGTTGGAGAGGTGGATACTCCCCAGATAGAAATGCTGAGAAGAATGCAAGTGATTCGCTTGGTTTGAAAATGGGCACAGCATGACCGGCTCCTCTAAATGTAGCAAAAGTAACCCCCTCGTACTCCTGAAGCCAGCCACCAACCTAACATAAACGGTACAACATAATCTTCACGTCAGACCAATTCAATTGTCTTTTGGGCACAAAAGAATCAATGCAAGTATTAACTATGGAAGAATACTAGATCATTTGGCAGGGTTTTTTATCCCACTCATGAATGCAATCATGACGATGGAAGTGGAGCTAAACCAACATTTTATGGCATTTCTTTACTGCAAAGGTCTCAAGTAGGCTCTAGTTTAACAACAATTATAACCCTCCACTCAACGAATCCAAACACTATGAACACCACGAGTCTTGTATCAGATGCAAGAATTTGTTTTCTTATTCCCTTTGATCCAAGTTATACTCATGTGCTGTCATATAATACCCCAGCGAATAAAACGTGTTGAATGTTCAATTATTAGTCCTACATTCTTAAGTCGAAGTTATTAGCAAAATAGGGATTTCTATTTTCGGGGTGGGCTGCATATCTCCAGCTGTTATGCGTCGATGTGACAAAGATAATCACTTTTTAAATTGTAGTGAATTTACCTTTAGAATTAAGGAAAATTTTTTCCATATTTCTTTTAGGATCATAAATCATCAACTTTTAGCAACTGGTTTTCAGAAACCTAGGTAAACAATATAGCAAAATCTTGGGCGAGCTCAGATTAATATTGAAAACATTAAAGAAAGCCTAACACTGTGACAGATCTAGAGAAAGCCAATTTATTTGAAAAGGAGTCAAAGAAATCTCTCTTTCAGGAGTCTCCTAGTATTTTCTGTTTTTGTTCTTTCCTCCCGGTGTCCCAGAACTGCACAAGGCTAGCAGTCGAAGTTTATGAGAGGGATCAAAGTGGTACCAGGTAATAGCAATTTTTTTCATGATCTACTGTATCCAAATCACGTTACCTGTTTCTGATGGTACCAGGGCCTCCACGCTCGTGTAATGCGAAGACCGATGGAACTTAAGCTGTATCTTGTGGACAAGACGGGGACTCTTCCATCAGTGTCTCCACTGAATCAACGGAAAAAAAAAACCCAAAAATTGGTCCAAATACTTTTATAAAGTGAATGATATTCAAATAGCAAGTAAATTAAAGCAGAAAGAAAGAGTTTTGGCCATGTACCTATACACCCAAATTCTAAGTCCTGAAGCAATGAGTTTCTTGTATATAGGGAGCATAGATTCCTTTGAATCTGACCAGCCATTAAAGATAGTCATGCTGCATCAAATGTGGTTGATGCGATATTAAGAGAACTAAATAATCTTATTTATCACACAAATGAGAGTTGCAAACCACAGAATTCAAATAAGTGAGATGGATGAGAAGTATATTACTTGCAAATGCTCCAGCCTCTAAGGCGCTGACCGTCACTAACATGGAGGGCTTTCTGCACATCAGCTCTGTTGTAATAGTATCTTGCATAGTCGTCAAGGCATGGATCATAGCCGCCTATGATCCTTGGCATCTAGTTTACGAGTGTTCAAGCACAGCCATGTCAAACACCAGAACAGGTTAATTCATCCTGTTGATAGTCAATTTTGGACTCTAGACCAGGAAGGATGAATCATGCATAATGATACGAATTGAAAATGACTAACTGAACCCACATGCTTCATTTTGGCTCCCAGGAAAGTCTTAACTATTATCTAAAAGTCTCATATGACATTGATGCTTTAGAGAGTTGGAAAATGGCACCTCGGTACGGAATATATAGTTATTTCACATACTTAAAAGCCCGCTTCTTACCAATTTAGAAGTGCTCCTGAACATGACTTGCATTGATATGTCTTCGGAATTTGTTGAATTGCCAATACAGATTGATGTATATAGGCTATAGATATCTATCTCCTTGTACTGTTTAAGAACTTCATCCACGGCCTGACTACAAGCTTCATTGCTCCATGTGTCATTGCTATAAAAATCACAAGATTCCTTGATAATTTTGTGGGTTTCATCTGAAATCACAGCATGGCTCCAAGCATAATCCACAAGACCTTTCCAGTCTTCAGCATCACATGTTTCAGGATTACCTAGCTGAAGCAAAGCAACAGCTTTCGCTTGATATTACTGGTCAGAGAAAAGTCTACAATAATGAATAACAAAAGAGTTCACCTACAAAAGCGACTAAAAATCACAACATCTTTATGCAATAGGCACAGACGTGGGAATAGCTAAAAACTAGGAAGGTTTATCATTTCCCGTAACAAAATAGCCAATTGCTACTGAATGCACACTCAAGATGTGATCATTATGTTGGCATTGAAATTAAGAAAGTGAAGTAACGATAAGAAGAGGCAATCACAGTTACCCTCTCACTGAAAGTGGATTTTTTTTTTTTTTTTTGACTCCTTTAGCTTTTGCAAGATATCTAGGTAATAACATGTAAAGAAATACATAGGACTGTCACTCAATGCATCAGATTTGCTGTAACAAGAGGCCTAAGTTCCGTCCATGATTAAGACAGACTATACCAGTATGCCACCAAGATCAATGAAAAGTGAAGAATTTTTATTCTCGTCATGGATAAGTTCGGCCAGCTCAGGTACGTATTTGCCTGTTATAACATGTCAAGGAGAATATGAGCATATGCGAACTTTTGACAAAATGAACACCACAGTAGGATTAAAAAGTACAAAAACCTGCATAACTCTCCCCAGCTATATAGAAGGTTCGCTTTCTATATGATGGGAACTTGAGGAACCACTTGTGCAGGAAAATATAAGCATCTTGTGCTGATATCACAGTGGAACAAACACAGTAAAAAATAGAATAATTAGAAGTACAAACATATGCTTTTAAACCTAAATAATTATGCATCAGAGAAATACCAATGGACGTTAGTGTACAACGTGCAGGGAGATTGGGGAAGGGGTAAGGGATGAAGAGAGGAGATAGTAAAGGAACTTTAAAAGGAAAAAGCGTGTGGCGTATCACCTGTAAAGTCATCTCCTATGTTATCATAATCGGTACTTGTATTTGAGTATGAAAAGCCAACACCAACAGGAGATTCCAGGAACAACAAGTTTGCTTCTGCATCATTTCACAGGAAGAACTATAAATCTATAGTTTGTCAATGTATGAATTTGGAGTATATATTATGCTGGCGGTGCGTCGCATCTTAAAATATGTGTAGGGAGAGTGGTGACATGCGGTTCTGTATTGCACAGATGTAACTTAAATTAAGTGGCACACCTAATAATGCACAATTTGGTAGACATCAAACCTGTGTTCCATGAATAAGGATTAAATTTTAAGGCATGTCCATCTGTGTCCACAAGGAAAGGTCCAATCTCTTGTGTTGCTCCATATCCAACAGAAGAACATCCAGGACCTGAAACATTAACCTCCTGTCACCTTACTGGAGAACAAGCTACACAAGCATGGATTAAACAAATTGAAGGTGGCCTTATGCATTATGTGAGAAAAAGGAAAAAGCACAGTGTACCAAGTACTAGTAAATGAGATAGAATTAATCTAATCTATTGGTGGTACAGAGAGCTTGATCATTTTTAAAGTGCAAGCATCTAAAGAGAAGATTAAAATATTAGCTAAGATTCTCCTCTCCTCTTTCTAGTCAGAAAATTAAATTCCTTTGTCTAGTAATCCTTTAGATGAATAGAGGACTGGTCAAACAATCGTTAGAAATACTCGGTTCGGTTGCCACGAAAATACAAAAAAAAACTTGTTAATCCTTTTCTCTTGCTGACATAGTAGGGTTTGAAAACCCTAGAGTTAGATGGTTGACATTATTCTCATTCAGTAAAAGCGCAAAAAGCTGCAGAAATACTTCACATTTCCATGAATGATGCCAAGACCAAGTTTTTACTAAAGGAAAGGTGTCTTAAAACCTATGACAGATGTGAAGCATTCTGCAATTAATCAACATGAGAAAAACCTCTGTGTACTGTTCCATGCTGCTTACCTCCATTAAGCCAGAGGACTAAAGGTTTCTCATCAGGGAGAGCAGAGGCTTCATAAAACCAGTAGAAAAGTGCTCTTCCGTTTTGTTCATTCACGGTGACATATCCGGCATAGTGCCGAAAGTTCACCATAGGTTGACCCGGCAAATTAGCAACTAGATCTTCTGTTTCCCATAAGTTAGGTTTTTTATCAATGGACCAATGCCTAGCATTCAAGACCAGCAAGTTAACAAGAATCAAATAGAAGAAACCCATTATCTTGAACATGGGATCCATTTTGAACAGACACCAGCTATGGGACAATTCAAGTCCTGAGGGTGAAACAAGCAAACACCCACATGGCTATATATACTTTCTAGGATGCACTGTGCACCAAGGAATGAATGCCAAACTGTCTTCTAAGGGCCAAACTGTCTTCACAATTTTAACTGACATCTGACGTAGATTTAGGCAGGTTTCAGAGTTTTAACTTGCACCAGAAAGGCAAGTGGAGCCTCCATTTCCATGTGGGTTGTTGGATCACAATCACGTGAACAACACGGGAAACAATTTAATACAATTGCCAGTCTCTAATGCACAACTTCAAAGGTTTTTTTCACTCCCTTGACGCACCTTACAACTCACATCGTAGAAAAACATGAAGGTATTCTTTTCCCACCAGTCTTTTGTTGTTTTTCACTTCCTTTTCCATTAGATGACAACGTCCTTCATTAATTTACAACTACTAATTATGATCCTTGAAAGTTCAAGGATCGATGGCATAGCAAAGCATATGTCATTCACTTACAATAAAAAAAAAAAAACTTAGGGATGGAAACAAGAAGTTTTCTGCATGTGTCAACAACTTATCTCAGAGCTTGTAATTTAACTTAGGATGATTGGTGGGTGGGATGTCCTCAAAAAATGAGAAACCACCATAACATATCAGGAATCATAAACTTAGTACTTGCAGATAACATGAATAATTTTTTATCCAGAAAAAACAGAGGGAATTTCTGAGCACCAATGAATAAACGCAACAAATCAAGTGATTGACAATCATTTGGAATATCTGGATCGGACAACCATATTTTCTTCAATAAATCACAAGCTAAAATGTCACCGCGGATTTGACATGCTTAGAAAGATGTATCCAAGTGATCACAACTAACAAATCAGTGGTGACAACTGGCCCAAATGACCACTGATTTGATCAAAGATAGAAATGGAATTTCAAATATCAGAGATAAAGGGATAAAGTGACAGCAGAATTGAATAGGAAGAGAAGGCTTCATTATGTTTTCCGCACGTGGCACTTCTTTATGCTTGCTGACCAAATTCTTGTAAGGAAATTTTCACTTCAACAGAGTGAAAGAAGTTTTGGTATATATTCCCAACTGATGGTGCCCTTGCTACACAAAGAAAAGATGAGCTGCTTTTGGAATCTCATCATCCAAGGGGAGAAAGAAAGAGTTTTGTGGCGAACCTTATGCGTCGTGACTCTATTACCTGAAGTCAATGTGATGATAAGCGATGATGACAACAACCAACTTAGTTGTGAATTATGACTTGGATCCCAATACAACAGGTAGGAATACATCCCTTGATTATTTAGTAATTATTTTATGGTCTACAAATTCTATCCAGAATATGTGCATTCTAGTAATCTATTCACCACCTTATAGGAATCAAGCTCTAAATATAGCCCTCTTATGGCCAATCTACGGATTTCTTACCAGCATGTCTTGATACATGCATTGACAGGATGCATACATAGCCTGCAACATAAGTACAAGTGAATTTGCATCTAAAGATGCTGACAAGACTACACCAAGATTAAGCTATACAGGGATTAAAGTTAGGGAAATGAGGTTTTTAGGATCAATTAAAGTACTTCAATGAGAGAAGAAGAAGAAGTATCTCTGAATACATAACCAACTGTCCACGTAACAGCTAAAAAATGAGTGACGAGTTGCAGCTATATGTGTTTCCTTGTTTCAGGTGAAACCAGATTAATGGAGATTATAGTTGTACAATTCTTGAAACTCTTTTCCATGGATTTGCATAGTGTGGCTGTATATAATCTATTAAGATCATCGTAATTATGAGACAATACATAGTCAATATCTCATATAAAAATTCATGTTTCCTGCCAAACTGCAAGATCATATTTCTTCTTGCTTGAGCAAGGAACTATCTCCTTGCTCCTCACCGTACCAAGTAATTTCTTTTGGCATCAATTCAGCAGTACAGAAATCTTTCTCAAAATTGCATTTTTCATCTTCCCTGACTGAACAGACATGTGATTCATTGTTCACACTGTTCTCGGAAGCACTCCAATCCAATAAATTAAATTGTATCTGTATTCCAGAAATTATCACAGTAAGATAACGTAGAATATAATTTTATCCAAAAATTGTTGCTGACCAGAAATTCAGGTTCAATGGTGAACTTTATCTACCTGATGATGAATCCTTCAATTTAGGTGTCTGTCAAGTCACAAGAGGCTCTTTGGTCCCCAGAACAAGGTACAGTTGACTCTGCACTATCTCAAAAGCAGTTCCCACTTATAATAGATGAGGAAGAAGGTCTATCTAACTTGTATACTTCCGTGGTCTTGTAGGAGTTAGACCTTCCTTTGCTTCGAGTAAATAAGGAAAAGAATGCACTAGTCTAACTACAAATAGTGTCTGAAATACTTAATTAATCATAGAACTACTGTGTCACCTTTGTTGCTCTTTCAAATCCTACAGTAGCAAACACATTTCAAAAGCCAAAGGATCTGTCAATCTAAAGACACTAGCTCATCAATTTTGCTTCTTTGGAGATGAACATCTCGCAAAACTGTTAAAATTAAGCTTATGGCCCTTAAATCCCAGTGATGAGAAAAGTGACTAAATGTGCCAGGCAAAACCTAAGCAAATGGAACAGCAAACAGAGAGATGGGACCTAAGTAGTCTTTCACTCTTTTGTGCCTTCAATACCAAGATGTACAAGTAGATTAACAAACAGTATGTCTAGTCTAATAGTCATCTATAGAAACATCAATCATGGCATTGGCCATCATTCTCTCTAAAGGACCATAATTCTGTTATCTGTAAGACTAAACATCCATTTATCACCCTCTCCACCTCCCACCCGGCCCCAGACAAAGGTTTGAAAAAATAAAATAGAAAAAAATGCCATATAGGCACCTCTCTTAAGCATGACGATTCGTTGCTTGCATCGTTACAGAAAGAATGGAATTTGACCTTACTGGTGAAGCTTAAAAAGAAGATGTCACTTTTAAATTTTGCATTTCAGTCTTTCAAAATGATTAGAAACTGTCCAGAAAAGCTTATCTCTTAGTTCTTTTTGTCGCAAGCAGAAGGATGAAAAAATATATATCAACATCAAAGGAATTTAACAACACCCTTTCATCTATTCCACTATCTCCAATTTGACTGTGCAACTGTCAACATTAGTTTGGAGTAAGGTATATTGTAGATAAAAGAAATCCAAACAGGTGGTTCTGCAAAGTATTGTAACCTAGTGGGAATACTTCTACCTTTGTATCCAAACAGCAGTTACTAGGATGTCGTAGATATAAATAGATAAATAATCTATAAAGAGCTAAAACAGAGTGCAATCTCAATGTGCTGAAGAAGACTAGACTGCTTCCAACCAATTTTCAGCTAATAGGTTTACAGCATTAAGACCGCATCTTTAAAAGTTCAAGCAATTCTATCTTTCATTTTGTAGATGGCTTGGCCAGGGCATACGGTACTAGTATTTATTTACCCTTTTCTATGTTTTTCCTTTTTGACTAGGCTAAATACGGCCAAATAACATAATAGCAGGGGAGGATGTGGGGGACACAAAGGAGAGAGGGGAGTCAAACTCCCTTCCAGTAACACACTGATGACCTAGAGAAGGTGCAGGCAAGACAATCTTTTTGTGGGAAAATCTTTGTAAACACCCAATAGTATATCACCTAAAAGGGATAGCAGGATGAGGATGTGCCAAAAATCTAGTGTATTTTCCTTGTGATCTTGAGTTGCACACTAGCACTAACAGCACCATGGTGTCCATATGAAGCATACTCAAATAGTTAATCAAGTAGCAGGTCTTTTCCCCACGGCTCCTTTTTTTAAGTTGACTTGTCTACTATAAACGTGATTCAAATTTATTTTTCTCTAGCTAGAATCTGTTGTCTCCACCTTCCGTGATGGAAATTTGACCCCACCTAAATGCCAATTAACAGTTTGCTTTTTGTGTTCTTGTGGAAGTGTCACTTTTACTTTATTCAACTTTTCTTTCTTTTTGTAATTAGAAATTTCCCCCTAGAAGCTTGAGAGAAAGAGACAATGCACGGTTGTTGTTGACTTGCCGTTGGTCTCTATCTCTAATATGAGTGATGCATTGCATCTTAACAGTTTCTTGATTAAGTTGATATCCATAAGAACATCAATTTGGAACGAACATAACACCACTAGTGATTACACCTTAACACAGTAAAATTCATTAAAAAAAATTAGAGCATTAAGAAGAATCAGTATAAAAGTATATCTAGAAGACCGAGCCAATATTTTTCAATGAAACAGGAAGAAACGGAGAGAGGTTATTCATCAGCAGATAATTCTTCACCTCTGAGAGTGCGATCAGACTAATTAAAAAGCAAAAAGACCCTCTGGCGCTTGAGTTTTTTCTGGTGTTAGTACAAACAATCATCAATGATCCTCCCAGAAGCAGGAAAATTGACAGTAAGAAAGCTTTTGTACTCCAAGTTTTTAAGCCCTATTTGTTTTAGTTTTGGATTTTTCCAGAAGTCATTGGACCCTAGGTAGATTAATCCCAAAATTCTAAGCAGAATATTTCCTTGGCAGTGACAAACAGCCCACAACCAAACATAACAATCAATGGCAGTTTAATATTGCTCAAACGTAGCCATCCATTGAAAAGTAAGATAAGGTGTCAGCAGTCATTAAAGCGCAAAAGCTCAGCAGATTAAAATATAGTAGATGAGGTGATCAACGACCTGTCAAATAAATTGACGGGAACAGTAACTTGCGATAAAGATCATAAAGTGAATTTTAACCATGCATTTTGTCTTGCATCCAGGGCTCCAAACCTTTGTTTGTTCTTTTTCAAGTTTCTGGATTTTCCTTTGTGGAGACTGGAGAGACGAAGTTCAGAGGGCCAATAAGACCAACCCACAGCTTTGACATAAGATATCTACCAACTACCATCCTACACCTCATGGTCCAAACTCCAAAGCCATAGTCCAATACAAAGGT